ACAGACGAACGGACATCGCTAAATTGACATAGAATTTTATGCTGATCAAGAATATATATACTTTGTGGGGTCTAAAATGTATATTTCGAGGTGCTACAAGGGGAATGAAAAACTTAATATACCATCCATACTATGGTATGGTAATAATATAAATGACCTTCTTCGGAGAGTGGTTTATGATTCATTAATTATTCCAACAAGACAACAAACATCCATTGATTGGTTGGTATGTTTAGCCATCAATATTTTCCACTATTCAATGTGAGCAACGAGAATATAATGGAATGGAAAATAACGCGTTGATATTCATCGTTGATAATTGGTGAGGAACCAAATTCTATTTAATAAAACATTTTAAATACTTTACCTCTATACCCTCTACATACGAGGATTCGAAGTAACATGTGGTCATCCTACATGAACTCAATTCAGTTTTAACCGCTTTATTGGTACTAGGTTTCTTCTTTTTAAATATTTTGAATATTATTAATATGGGTTAAAATATTTATACTTGAATGCAAAAACACGCAATAACTTAAGTAACTGGTACAAAAATAATTTTTGGTATCTTACCATCATGTTGTTGGCGATGAAATCAGTTATAGGTTCCACAAAAAATAAGTAATTAATTATAAAATGATCGGTTTATTCAGTTTATTAAAAAAGAATTTATTTTATTAAGTACATAATTTATAAATTTTGAGAACTGCACCCCCTCCCCCCCATTGCCGAACGTGAACGTAGACCTTCCGTCATCAGCCGTCAATGCTCAATGAATACACTTGCGGGTACGAGGAATCCTTTTTGTTTCTGCTTGAAGTAATATATATTTAATTGTGCTGATATATGGTAGCTGTAAGAAAATGTGCACTTTTTTAGGCAATGTTATACCACAGAACGTAAAAACAATTACAAACTCTATACAAGTACCGAGTTGCCCTTTATCGTCAACATAAATATAAGTGCATAATTTTAGTTTTCTATATCAATTCATTCAAAAGAGTTCGATTACAGCAGACAGAGGGCTGCAAGAACAGGCAGACAGACGTTACATTCTGAATGACGATGTTACTGGAGTTCGAAATCCTGTGTTATACCATTCCAGAACTTGCAATAATTTAGTAGTAGGACAGGCAGACAGACGTTACATTCCGAATGACGATGTTACTGGAGTTCGAAATCCTGTGTTATACCATATGCTGTATTCCAGAACTTGCAATAATTTAGTAGTGGTTTTGCATTTTTTCGATATCATAAAGGAACAGTTAAAAAACAGGTAAGTTCGGCAGAGACAAACTTTTAATACCCTCCACCATTCCGAAAACTACGACTTAAACCACTTAAGTTATATGGGGACTATACGCAGACGTGGACCTGTATACGAAATTTTTAGTCATATGCTGTAGTACCCATTACGAACTTTAAATACGAACTTTGTTACAACTAATGTTTCTGAAATCATTTAAATACCGTATATCGGGAGGTACAATTACATGGGGGCTATAGGAAATTTTGGACCGAAGGACCGTGGACCCCATTTACGAACTTAACCTGCTGATTTCACGCAGGTCTTAGTTTTCTTTCCTTAATTGACTTTATCGATTATTTCAAATTAGACTCGAAAGACATCTAGCAATAAATGATATCAGTATAGTTAGCAATTAACATAATATCTTTGTCCTTTTGGGATTGTTTTTATTTTTATCACATTTTTGTCGACGAGGTATATTCCAATAGCTAGGGAAGACCTTCTTATTTGGGAATCATTTGGATGCATCAAGCACATCGCAAATTTGAGATGAGACTGGTAACGCTACAAACTACTTTCCCAAAAATACAAAAGTAATTTGATGAACTTACCACACAATACGAACTTTGTTACAACTAATGTTTCTGAAATCATTTAAATACCGTATATCGGGAGGTACAATTACATGGGGGCTATAGGAAATTTTGGACCGAAGGACCGTGGACCCCATTTACGAACTTAACCTGCTGATTTCACGCAGGTCTTAGTTTTCTTTCCTTAATTGACTTTATCGATTATTTCAAATTAGACTCGAAAGACATCTAGCAATAAATGATATCAGTATAGTTAGCAATTAACATAATATCTTTGTCCTTTTGGGATTGTTTTTATTTTTATCACATTTTTGTCGACGAGGTATATTCCAATAGCTAGGGAAGACCTTCTTATTTGGGAATCATTTGGATGCATCAAGCACATCGCAAATTTGAGATGAGACTGGTAACGCTACAAACTACTTTCCCAAAAATACAAAAGTAATTTGATGAACTTACCACAATAGTAAACAAAATTCGGAAATCTGAAAAACAAATAGAAATAAACACCGGAAATCTAGCAAGGAACAGAACAACAATAATGGAATATGATTCTAATCCCTTCAATAATATTCGGAAAACTTTGCGTCATAGACTCCATTATTTTATACAATCAAGACTTTAATGTTATACTAAAAATTAACACTTCACGGATGTCTCTATAGCCTCTGTAGTGTCTGTATCAAAAATTAAAATTAACAATGTGATGAAGTTTTAGATGTAAGAAAATTATAATTTTCCCCGTATGCCATGGCCATCAAATACTAAACCTATAAAACCCCATCATAGCTGTTTGCCAAAGTCATACCGTGGCAGTACAGTCGTCGTGTGCACTACAGCTAATGACACGCAACACTGCCACGATTTAATGATCTTCACCCGATCATAATGATGGGTGATGTAATGATTAGTATCAATAAACGAGTAGCAATTGTTGAAGAAAACAACAAGCAGTACAACGAGACAACACAACACTGTGGCCGTAGTGTATACGATTTGTAACTTTTACATACTAAAGCGTGATTTTTTTGAGGTTAGGATTTTCATGCATTAGTATTTGACAGATCACGTGGGATTTCAGACATGGTGTCAAAGAGAAAGATGCTCAGTATGCTTTGACATTTCATCATGAATAGACTTACTAACGAGCAACGCTTGCAAATCATTAAATTTTATTACCAAAAAGTTGGCAGAAAATTCGCTTTTTTATCGACAAATTTTGTTCAGCGATGAGGCTCATTTTTGGTTGAATGGCTACGTAAATAAGCAACATTGCCGCATTTGGAGTGAAAAGCAACCAGAAGCCGTTCAAGAACTTCCCATGCATCCCGAAAATGCACTGTTTGGTGTGGTTTGTACGCTGGTGGAATCATTGGACCGTATTTTTTCAAAGATGCTGTTGGACGCAACGTTACGGTGAATGGTGATCGCTATCGTTCGATGCTAACAAACTTTTTGTTGCCAAAAATGGAAGAACTGAACTTGGTTGACATGTGGTTTGAACAAGATGGCGCTACATGCCACACAGCTCGTGATTCTATGGCCATTTTGAGGGAAAACTTCGGAGAACAATTCATCTCAAGAAATGGACCGGTAAGTTGGCCACCAAGATCATGCGATTTGACGCCTTTAGACTGTTTTTTGTGGGGCTACGTCAAGTCTAAAGTCTACAGAAATAAGCCAGCAACTATTCCAGCTTTGGAAGACAACATTTCCGAAGAAATTCGGGCTATTCCGGCCGAAATGCTCGAAAAAGTTGCCCAAAATTGGACTTTCCGAATGGACCACCTAAGACGCAGCCGCGGTCAACATTTAAATGAAATTATCTTCAAAAAGTAAATGTCATGGACCAATCTAACGTTTCAAATAAAGAACCGATGAGATTTTGCAAATTTTATGCGTTTTTTAAAAAAAAAAGTTATCAAGCTCTTAAAAAATCACTCTTTAGCTATTGCCAAGAAATAGTTTCAGTGAATGTTAGACCAAGGAATTTGCCACCTTCCAAAAACAGCTGGGCAAGTCCACTACACATTGCTCTAAAAATGAATGAAGTGGCTACTACTGCATTTTGAACGCAGGAAAGGTCCCAGACAGATATCATCTGCCTCATATTCACGATTTTACACGTGGCCTCCGAGGAAAAAAAATTTTAACGATTGATCGTTTCCGTACTTATAATTAAAATCCTATTGTCGCTCATATGCCCGAAGGGCAGAAATCATGACGCCATTTGGACTCTTTGAGTTTGGCTTTATGACATTTGGGTTAAGTATATTGAATGATACCAATTCATCATTACTTATATTAAAATTGACTCAGATGTCACCCAACAAGCAATAGGTTAGTGAGTGGTCTTTCGTTCCATTAACCATGAAAAAATCAGTGTTTGATACATCGGACAATTTGTCTTACGGTACTTAATGTTGCTAATATCATCAAAATACGGAATAAAGGGAGGTACCGTTTTTTGTGGACTATACAAAGACGTGGACCTGCATAGGCAATTTTTCGTCATTCTATCATTAAAGAATAAATACGAAATTTAAAACAATTCCGGTCAAAAATGTAAAATCATGAAGATACCAAATATAGGGAGGTACCCTTATACGATATACGATATCGTGGACCTATGTAGAAAATTCTTCTGTAGGGGATGAAGGAACTCCTGGTGTGAATTTTTAGACAATTCCATTAAAAAATGTGGGTAAAATTATTAAAATACGGAATATCGAAAGGTACAGTTATATGGGGGATAATGCTTTTTTTAGGGGATTAAGTACTCAAAAGAAACTCCTGTGGATTTTTAGACAATTCAATTAGAAAATGGGCCTACAATCATTAAAATTCCGAATATCGGGAAGTACAAATGACAAAATTAATATACCCTCCGTACTATGGTGGAGGGTATAAAAATGTGAAAATACTAGTTCCTATATAATCACACCCTCCATCTTGGAAAGGAGAAACAACACTCTTGCGCCATATTATTAAATAACCCTTAGTTTTTATTACATCATTCCACCGATTTCACTGACATTTGCGGTTCAAAACGAAACAATCTTTAAATTGAATCTGTAACTAACATAATTGTAAATCTGAGATGAACTATTCCAAATGTATACAATAAAAATATTTGGTAATTATCAAATTGTTTTCAGATGCTCCCACCTGTACCTCTAATCAGAGCATTATATATGGTGCAGCAAAACAGGAAGATGTAAAAATTAAATGTACAGTTGACGCAAATCCATACGAAGTGGAATTTACATGGACTTTTAATAACTCTGCAGAAAGCATTGATGTCGCTACCAACCACATTTCTCAAATCGGTAAGTTAATCATATATTCTTCTAGAAATTTCAAAAGCTTTGAAACGCCCTTTCCATATAATTCATTATATTTAATGCAACGATACGAAACAAACAAAATAGTTTCCACTAAAAGTAAAATAAATATATTTTAAATAAAAGTAGTTGGCATTCAATATTCGACTTTCATTTTATACTGCAAAAGCGAGTGGAATCGCTAGGATGATGCTGTGAAAGTCCCCACAATGCTATAATTTTCTCCTGTTTGGTATCTATTCAGATAGAAATTATTATATCTTTTAAAAACTGTGGTAAAAATTCCGAATATTTGGAGGTACCCTATATGGAGATTATAGAAATACTTGAACCCAATAATGTTCTTTAACAGAAGGAAGAAACAATTGCGAACAACTTCATACTGAATACGTACGGTAACTCCACGTTACTGTTACATTGGAGCTATGAAAATACGTTGACCCGTGGAATAATGTGGCAAAAATAATCAAAATACCTAATATCGGGAAGTACCGTCATATAGGGGCTGTACAAAAACGTAAACCTATAAAGCTAATGTTCTGTCACCAGAAGAATAGCCTGTTACTAACTATTAATATAATAATATTGGAACAATTACGTGGAAAAACGTGGCCAAACTCATCAAAATACTGAATATCAGGAGGTACTGTTATAGGGCCCAATACGAACTACAAGTACCATTTTTAGATAACTCCGTGTGGCTACACCCATGGTACAATGAATTCGAGGTAGAACAGAACTACCATATGATTTTAATTTTTTTATTTTTCTGGCTTAATATGTCAACTTCATTTGTTTATGTGTGTGTATTCTTTTCAATAACAAAAAAAAAATCAGAAAATATTCAAATTCGGGTGTTTTCAAAATGCTTATTGCAACGTATGCATCGACAAAATCTACAGTTTTTGTCGCGAAATAAACCATAAGAAATATATAGAACATGATTTTGAAAATAAATTTTGACCTTTCATTCATTTTTCGCGGTTTTAAATTATTTATTCAAAATCAATGCAACAAGTTGTTTGGTTTTTGATTGTTTTGATAGTAATTCTGACATTACAAGCCAAACAGGTAGACCTCTATACTTAGCAATTTTTTCAAAGTTAGCCTACCTTGTCTTCATTGTACCATGGCTACACCATAACATTTTTCCAGGTGAATATTTTTTTAATATAGTAATATGTGTATTTATTTTTGTGTGCGTGATAGTTTTTTCTTTGACTCATACTGAAATGTATATTTTGTATTGCTGTTCTACCTTTTATGGTGGACTATGGAGGCTATATTAAATTTGTCATTCCGTTTGTAACTCCTCGAAATACTTATGTCAGACCTTATAAAGTATCTACTTTCTTGATCAGCGTAAAATTCTAAGTCGATTTAGCTATGCCCGTCTGCCTTCTTGTCTGTCCGTTATAACCACGCTATCTTTCGAACGAATTGACGAATATAACGATACCTCTCTATATTCGGTATTATAGAACTGAATTGTTTCAAATTTCGTATTGGAAGATCTTAATGGGTACTACAACATACGACAAATAACCTATGCAGGCTTACGTCTTTTTATAGCCCCTACATAACGGTACTTCCCAATATTTGGTATTTTTATGGTATTAAAAACATTATATACCGTAATTGATTTTTTTCTGAAAATGTCTAATTTCTTTCCAAATGGTGGAGCGTATTAAAAGGTCGGCCCGGCCCGGCCTGTATTGGTGTTCAGTATAAAATTTTAAGTCGATTTAACGATATCCGTCTGTTGAAAACACGATTGTTGAAAATGATTGGTCTACGTTTTGGTATAGACTCCATATAACTATACCTCCCTATATTCAATATTTCAATAATCCCAATCACATTCCACCAGGAAATTATTTTAAATTTGCTATTTAAGACCAGCAAAAGATAACAATCCCTGTAATTTCTATATATAGGGTGAGATAAAAAACTGCAACAATGTCAAATGCATTTTTTTTTTTTTTGTAAATTTTATTGAATGAAAGCAAAAATGTCGGGAATAGCATCAAATTTTAGAATAATTTTAGATTTGTTCGAAGTGGTCACCCATGGCCTTCAAACGGTCAATGAAACCGCCACACGCTGCCTGAATGTTGCTCTGTGGTATATTGTCCCATTCCCGACGAAGCGCTTGCTTGAGGTGATCGACACTTTGATATTTTTAGTGCCAACCTTGCTTTTTAAAATACTCCAGACACAGTAGTCCAACGGAACGCTGGAAATAAAGCGACGAACCCCTTTTTTTAACATTCTTGGGTGGCGCGAGCTGAGTGCGATGGCGCTGAGTCCTGTTGGAATGTCCAAAGTCTGCCGTGAAAATGTTTGCGTGCCCAAAGCTTTAATACACCCTCCAGAATATTTTCGCGATAATATTTCACATTTATTTTGTTGCGACGTTCGATTAATAAGAGCGGATAGCGACCATCGGCTGTTATGGCGGCCACACTATCACCATTGAATTCAGATATTTTTATATAATTTTTTTTTTACCTAATGGTGGAGGATATTAAAGATATTATTTTTTTCGTTTTTTAGCTCAGATCGTGTGTAAAAAATCAAATTACAGTTTAACATGATTGCATTGTGACTTGGCTCCTGAATCGACAAATACATCTAAATGGGGTTGTAACAAAACGTGGACCAACTACTTTCGTAAGAAAAGTTTTCATCCTATCCGAACAAAAAATATCCGAAATCAATAGATACTGCTATATGGGGTCATATCAAATAAATTTATATTCTCTGAAACCCTGAAGCGTTAAACTACTATATGTGAAAAAATGTGCTTTGTTACATTTTGTGATATATTTTCTTTTACTTTTTGTTATTTTTTATATTTTTTATTTTTTGTTATTTTTTTTATTTTTACCCTCCACCATACTATGGAGGGTACATTAATTTTGTCATTCCGTTTGTAACTCCTCGAAATACTCATGTCAGACCCAACAAAGTACATATATTCTTGATCAGCGTAAAATTCTAAGACGATTTAGCCATGTCCGTCTGTCTGTCTGTGTGTCTGTCTGTCTGTCTGTCTGTCTGTCTGTCCGTCTGTCTGTCTGTTGTAATCACGCTATCTTTCGAACAAATTGAGATAGAATGCTAAAATTTTGCACACATGTATATTTTGCCAGTAGGCAGGTTAAGTTCGTAAATGGGCAATGTAGGTCCAAGTTATCATATAGCCCCCATATAACGGTACCTCCCGATATTCGGTATTTTGATGATTTTAGCGACATTATTCACCGGAATTGTTTCAAATTTGGCATTTGAGATTCTTAAGGGATACTACAGCGTAAGACAGAAAATTATCTGTGCAGGTCTACGTCTTCGTGTAGCCCCCATATAACGGTACCCCCCCGATATTCGGTGTTTTGATGATTTTAGCGACATTATTTAGCGGAATTGTTCCAAAATTGGTATTTGAAGTTCGTAATAGATACTGCAGCATAAAACAGAAAATGGGCCATGTAGGTCCACGTCTTCATATAGCCCCAGCATTTTGATGATTTTAGCGACATTATTTATCGGATTGTTTCAAATTTCGCATGTGAAGTTCGTAATGGATACTTCAGCCCATGCCAGAAAATTGTCTGTGCAGGTCCACGTTTTCGAATAGCCCCCATATAACGGTACCCCCCCCCCCTATTCGGTATTTTAATGATTTTAACTACATTATAAACTGATCTTTCTTCAAGTTCACATTTAAATTATTGTAATAACTTATGACAAAATGTGCCTATGCAGGCCCACGTCGTCGTATAAGCACTCGGTATTCTTAAGATTTTAACAGAACTTTTAACGGATTTATTTTTGGAAATTGCACCAAATGGTCGGCCCGGCCGAACTTACAGCTTTTTTACTTGTTATTTCTATTTTTGTTTACAATTCGATACTTGGAGTTTACTGGGTTCTTGTGGCAGATCATTGTCTATAGAGGTTTACATTCTGCAATAGCCTACATATTTCGATACCTCCCGAAATTCGGAATTCTAATGATTTACCCACATTTTTAACAAAATTGAATTTTTAAACCTCGTAATAAATAACGACAACTGTAACAGGAAAACGGTTCCATCCACCTAACGTTATTTTGAAGACAATGGATCCAATATTCAATCTCGATGCTTTTATTTATGGTGCAGACCCCATATAACCCCCACTTTATGGTTTGGAGGACTTTTACGCAATCTCCAACCAATTTGAATTGAAATAAGGAATATAAAATATCTATACTATTACTTTTTAAGGGCTTAATGCTTACTTGTTTTAATGACGCCATTCACTTCATTAATAACGTCATATAGCTAATGTTATTAGTGTTAGATTTGTGTTATCTAATTTTTCCTAGTGCTTTATACGACCATCTTCATCTAAGGCTCAGTTTTATTAATTCTCGATGCTGTACTAAACAAATGCAAATTGTATGTACAAATAATTGACATGAGTAGATTTAGCAGAGCATATTTAGCAGGCATTGATGCTCGAATTCAGTTTGGTAGTTCAAATAAACTCATGAAGATTGATAAACATGCACGATCCAAATAATCAATAAAATTCAAGAACTTTAATCAAGTCAATCAAAATCAGAATCTACCATAGCAAATATAAATTAAGATACAGCCCACATTTTGCGATTGTTTAGTTTTGTATAAACTGTACATGTTGTAAAAATAGTTTGTGTTGAATGTACTTCTTTAAATTCTTATCTCATTTTTATTTGTCTTTTCCGAAGAATGTAAATTAGTTAAATAAAGAAAACACTTAAGATGCATGTGTTTTCCATATGCTAGGTTTATGGTCGGTAATAAATAATGTAATAAATGTCACGGTCATAAATAGAAGACAAGAAAGGGTCGATCACAAATTAGGTACGTTTCGTTTCCCCCCGCAACGTAATGTGTGCGTATTAAAGGACTGCAAATGTGACAATTTTCTCTCTTTACGCCATGGAGAAAAAACGC